GAAGCGGCCGCGGCGGCCACGTGGGGGCCACCGTGGTGGTGTCGGTGGCCGCTCGCTGCCACGGCGCCATCCGCGTGCCCCGCTCTTTCCGTAGGAACAAGAGGAGGATCATGCGCATATTCACGCTGCCCGCCGCGGCGGACACGCCGCCCGAGCCCAACTTCTACGACAGCATGAAGAAGATCCGCCTGCGGCAGCAGCTGGAGATGTATTCCATCGGTAAGCGCCCGGGAAATTCGCCGGGTTGCGTGGGGATGGTGTGAGGAAGCGCAGAATGTGGGAGCTGTGCCCTTGTAACCAGTGCTGCTGCTTCCCTCTTGCCGTTGAACGTCAAGATGGAGGTAGCAGAGAGCCCCACAGCTCTGATGTACCATCGTTCAGCTTCGAGAATCATCGCTGTGTGCTTCACTTCTGCCGCATCTGTAAGCCTACAGGAAAGATGGGCAAGAAATACTGGCATCTTCAAAACCATCTTTTAAATGTAAAGATTCTTTGGCCAGGCCACTTCTGTCCAGATAAAAAAGGATGCGCATCCTACAAATGAAGGCCTGCTGGCATTCTTTGGTTTTCTTTGTTCACACACAGCGCTTTGGTCTCGTTTTGCGCTGCTCACCCAATTAATTTTGAAGTCAACATAGGTGCCAGCATGTGGCCTATATACTGAGAGGAGTGTTAAGGCCATTTATTGTGTGACTAATGAGTTCTGCAGATGATCTGTAATAGCCCTTCTGAATACATAGTCTTTTTATTTTTTAATGAAAGGATCTCGGTGGAATCATAGTTCTCTGCCACTATTTTACTTAAATATTGCTACAGTAGTACTGTTTTTTTTTTCTAAGGCCACTTGCTAAAGGACGTCTTCCACGTGGTGGCTGAAGCTTCCCCGTTGTGTAGCTGAATTATAAAACGATGATCTCTGATCTTAGCCCTATTTCTTGATTTATTATACAAATGTATACATGTGTGTGTATGTATATATTTTTTCACATAAATTTAAGTAGAATAACTGGTGCTGATCAGTGTTTTTTTTTTCTTTTTTTTCAGCAAGGAAGTATGAGCAGCAGCAGCAGCCACCAAAACAGACTGAAAGCATACAGCTCTCAGTGGAATGAAGTCCACAATTGTAAGAATTCAGGATATCCTTACAATGCTGATAACAGGAGTCAGAGCGGGGACATTTTTGGTGCCTTTTAACTGATACGTAACTGAAGGCAAGGAGGAGAGGAAGGGGACACTCCTAAAATCTTAGTTCGTGGCAGCTTCTCTTTGAGCCTGCTGAATTAAACTGAATCCCTACTGAAACACTCAGCATAAAAGTATCAAGTGAAGGACAGGTTTGCTCAGCGAAATCTCTGAGGGTAGAGAAGTGCAATCATACGAATGTTTTAAACAATTTACCTTTTTGCCAGCATCTTTGAAATAAATCCTGCCCTTCCCAGGTGATGGTACCCTAGAGAAAAAAGAAAGGCAGTAGCTTCCTGTGCCTGGACACTGCTGAATTTGCTGGCAGAAACGTGGTTTGGTGCGTTCAGTAAATGTGAGTGAAAATAATGATTTCCGCACAATAACATGCCCTTTCTGTACAGTGAAGGTGAGTGGGTTTTGAGCACCAGAACCGTCACTGGCAATCCTGCAGAAAGATTAAAATCTCCACACTCTTTTTTTTTTTTTTTTTTTTTTAACGGAGATGGCACATACAAAACTGTGAAGCTGCCTTGTGGAAACTTGTAGAACTAAAAAGTACTGGCCAGTTTCATGCCTGCAGGGTGGTTAAAGCACTGTAACGTTACAGCAAGGGCGGCTGGTGAGCTTGCTTTAGTAAAGCTGGTGTAAAGAGGATTGTCTGTGAACGTGTGCGTAAACAGAGCCGCTAAAAGTGAGCGTGGCTCATCCAAGGAGAGGCTTACTTAAAAAAAAATAAACAGGGAATCACGGATTTTTAGGGAGCGCTGCAGAAGTGACTTTTTGCTTAAAAGCCGCTCGCAATGGGAAGCGCTGCTGCTGCCTCGTGCAGCAGCGCCGGCGTTACGGGGGCCGGGCTGGCGGCAGCAGCGCTCCGCTCCAGCGGGGCGCGGGGGAGGTTGC